AGGCAAAGCCCCAAGGCACCAGGCACCAGAAGCCAGAAGGCCTCCAAAGGCCCTTCACAAGGCGAACAAGGCACCAGAAAGCCCGCAGAAGGCCCCCACAAAGCCTTCAGAGGCCCTGCCCCCACAAACCCTGCAGAGGCCCCGCAAGGCAGCATCCAGAAAGCCCAGAAGGCACCAGAAGGCCACTATAAACCTCCCAGAAGGGCCCCAGAAGGCTTGAACCCAGCCAGGATTTTGTCACTTCGGGACTGGACTTGGGTTTTGTCATTTGGGGCCTGGATTTTAGGACCTAAAGCTGAAATGAAGGACGGCAAAGCTCCAGAAGGCGCCAGAAGGTCTGGTCCTCAACAAAGCGAACAAGGCCCCAGAAAGCCTTCACAAGCCCTTCACATGGCCCCAAAAAGCCTTTCGAGGGCTCCCCATAAAGCCACCAAAAGGCTTCCACAAGGCCTCCCTGCAGAGGCCCTGCAAGGCACTATCCTGAAGCCACCAGAAGGCCATAGAAAACTTCCCAGAAGGGCTTGAACCCAGCCTGGATTTTAAGAACCACCCAGAAGGTCAGCAGAAGAGTTTGAGGAGGCTTTGAGAAGGTGCTCGGAAGGCGCAAAGGCCCCCAAAGGCTTCCAGAACGCCACCAAGAAGGCACCAGAAGGTATCACCGCTTAAGCTGTCTTGTGCCATGGCAACCTCGGCTCGTAGAGAATGCAATTATGACGTTTCAGCATCGCTTTCAAAGTTGTTTTCCTCTAAACCATATAAGCCCCCCTTGATAGGGGGGGTTGGGGGGGTAGACAACCCTAAACCCGTTCAAGGTTTGTAATTTGGGTGGGCGGGCGGGCATTGCAGCTCCTGCGCCGACCCCAACCACCATGGAGTGGTCGATAGCGCACTCGCAGCGAAAACCCTAAACCCTAAACCCTAAACCCTAAACCCTAAACCCTAAACCCTAAACCCTAAACCCTAAACCCTAAACCCTAAACCCTAAACCCTAAACCCTAAACTGAAGGCCGGCCCCCCACCGCAGCGATGGGGGCCGGCCGCAGCAGGCTGGCCTGAAGGCGCCTGCGGGACCGTAGGCGAAGGCCGAAAGGCGAGCCGTAGGTCCCTGGACCTCCGGTCCACGCGGCTGAAATGCATAGCCGCCTCCCGCAGCCTATATAATAATAACCCTAAACCCAACCCCCAACGACCGAGGACCCTTGAATTCCTCCTCAAGGGCTTTAATCCTGAGAAGCTTTGCTGCAAGGCAACGCCGAAAGTGTGTGTTTGGTTGGCAACAAGGAAAGCCAATTCGGGTGCAAAGAAGGAGGATTTGCAGGAGAGCCAGTTCGCTTATCCTGGGGACAGAGAAGGAGGACCTGCCGGAGGGCCAGTTCGCTTGTGCGGAGAGCCACTTCGCTTACCTTGGGAACAAAGAAAGAGGACTTGCTAGAGAGCCAGTTCGCTTATCAGAAGGAGGAATTGCCGGAGAGCCAGGTCGCTTGTGCGGGGAGAGCTAATTCGCTTATCCTGGGGACAAAGAAGGAAGAATTGCAGGAGAGCCAGCTGCAGTTCGTGTACGACTTGAACCTCTGGAGCAGCATCGGCTCCAAGAAGAACTTGCAGCTGCCGACGCCCATGCGCCTCATGCTCAAGGGCGAAGCTTTCAGCCCTCATTACTGGCGCGGCGTGCATTATGCCTTGCTGGACATGGTGCGGCAAGTCGGCTACCCTCGCATCTTCTTCACCGTCGCCCCCTACGAGTGGAGCTTCCCCTACCACGAGTGGGTCCGCGATGAAATGCAGAAGCTGCTCAAGGAGCGCTTGTTCCTGCCGGTGGCGGAGACGCTGCACATGGTGCACGTCATGGTCCAGGCTGTGAAGGGCTTGCTGCTGGGGCACACAGGCGGATCTGGGAAGCAGCCTTGGAAGAGCAACATCTTCCGTGTTCTGGACGACCAGGGCCATGCCCGCCGCCTGCACTTCTTCTTGCGTCTCGAGTATCAGGACGGGACCCGCAAGGCAGCCACCCAGGACTACCACGGCTCCGGCAGAGTCCACGTGCACGTCGTCATCTTTGTCAAGCCCGAGGATGTCGAGCAGCTAAACCTGGTGGAAACCGTGTCTGCTACTTTGCCTGAAGATGCGGACCTCCGCGGCTACGTGGAAGGCAGCCAGTACGACCGGGACAAGAAGAGCGGCTGGCCCGTCCACGAAGCACCGACTTGCTTCGACCGTGAAGCAGGGGCTTGGCGCCTCCAGCACACGGAAGACGACCAGGCGGCAGGCCTGCGCCCCTACATCGTGGACTTGATGGAGGTGCTCCGCTGCCACCAGGACTTCCAGATGTGCGACGACGACGGTTTGCTCCGCGCCTACGTCACCAAGTACGTCAGCAAGTTCTCGGATGCGGCCAGCGAGGAGTGGCTGAACGACGATGCGGAGGCCATGAGCATCGCCGCCACCGTGCTGATGCGCTATCGGCCGCTGGAGCCGGAGATGGAGCCGGAGATGGTGCTGCAGCTTTTTGGTGCCAAGTTCCGGCAATGGCAGCTCTCCACGCAGAGCGGCGGCAAGCGCGACTTTGTAGCGCCCTACCCGGACCGGGACCCCAAGCCGCGCGAGGTGGAGCTGTACGAGCAGGCGGAGTGGGCTTGTGGCCGCATCAGCCTCCTCGACTATCTACGTAAGACCACGGCCGAAGGGAAGATCTGCCACTGGCTCAAGAAGAAGCACAGGGAATCCGGCAGCGAGGCCACCCTGGAGGAATTTGCTGCGAGCTACGTGATGCAGGGCGAGAAAGTCGTGGCCGCCGAGACCGTCTCCAAGTTCAACGACCGCTTCTTCGGTCAGTGGCTCATGCTTCATGTTCCCTTCGAGAAGGCCACGGACTTCTGCCTGCCCCAGAACCTCGAGCGACGACTCCCAGAAGCCCACAAGTACTTTGCCATGGCGGTCCTCTGCGAGCATCCGGTGGCCCAGGCCATGTGGCAGGACGACGAGAAGATCCGCGCAGAGCTGAAGATGGAGGCGCACACCAAGGACCACGTGGACAGCATCCTCGCCATGATCCGCGCTCACCGCGGCTTGCTGCAGGAATACCTGGACGGCTCGCTGGATGCCCAAAAGGAGCGGCAGGCCCAAGAGAAGCGCAGCGGCGAGAAGAAGGCGTCCAAGACGAAACCAGGTCCTGTGGATGCCAGCAAGTTCAACAGACAGCAACTCCGCGCCTCGTCTGCATCAGATCAGGTTGTACATGTGAAGCAAGCACTCAGATTGTGCCTTCGGCCTGCTGCTTTTAGGCTTCAAGGAGCTTGTGGACACCGCTGTGGACCGTGCGTTGAGCATCGAGGAGGCGGAGGACGAGGGCGAGGCAGACCGACTGCGACAAGAAGCTCAAAGCAGCAAAGCCAATGTCTGCCTGGGGCCCCCTGGCACTGGTAAGACCACCGTGATCTTCTCTTGCATCGACCGTGCTCTGGCCAAGGGTGGCAAGGTCTTGATGGCTCTGCCGACGGCCCAGCTGTCCAGTCGCATGAAGGCACGCTATGGTCACAAGGTCGACATCGACACCTGCCATGCTGCTTTCGGCCTACATGAGTCTGCAGAGCACGGGGAAGCCTCCTTGCTGAGCATGTACTCCCTCATCGTGGTCGACGAGCTCTCGCAGCTAGACATGGTCAACTTCGAAAGGATCCTGAAACTCTGGGCAGCTGCGGATCGCGTGCCGGCCTTGGCGCTGCTGGGTGACCGCTACCAGATGGCCGGCATGGGAGAACGGCGGCCCTGGCACGGGCGCCTCTGGAACATTCTCTGCTATCGGGTGGCGCTGCACAAGATGTACCGCTGCAAGGACAAGGTGCATGCGAAGCTCCTGGCAGTCCTCAGGACCGGCAAGCCCAGCGCCAAGCTCCTCCGACAGCTCCGCAGGAAGATGGCGTGGAGACCTCCTGGCCCACCCACAGTGAGAGGACTTCGGAAGTTGCTGAAATCGAAGCCCGACACGACCATCCTCACGTGCACCAGGCGGGGCGCTGCTCGAGTCAATGCAGCCGCGTTGAAGGCCTTGTTTCCGAAATACCCACCGCTTACGACTTTGCCGGCTGACGTGGACGCGAACCCCGAGAACTACGTGCAAGGCAAGCTGAAGCCAGTTCACGATCTGCAGCCCTCCGCCATGCCCGTCTACAAGGGCATGAAGGTGTACTTGACGCGCAATGTGCGGAAGGACGTCGACTTCATCAACGGCATGGAGGCGACGGTCTTAAAGTATGACGACGGCATGGGCGGCCTCCTGGTGCGCACCGCCACTGGGTATGTGGTCAGCGTCTGGCCTTGGACCGACCCAGAAAGAGGTGGCTTGGTCTACTATCCCGTCCGGCCTGGCTACGCGTCGACCATCCTGAAGTTCCAGGGTGCAGAACTCCCTCATGTCGTCGTCTATCTGGATGCCGCAAGGGTTCCGGCCGCGGCCTACACGGCCATCAGCAGGGTCGGCTACTACAAGGACTTCCTGCTGGCGGGCATCTTGACGGAGCATCATTTCACGCCGGCGAAGTGACGTGGTTAGCAGCAGTCGTTTCACCTCGGCAGGCGCTACGTGTACAGGTAGCCCGCATCATGTTGGGAAGGCTCGTCTTGCGATTCATAGCCACTGGTGCCACGCGGGCAATATGCTTTGCAGGCAGCGCAGAGCACGGTGCTGCACGCTCGCAACAGCTGAGCTTTTCCCACAATAGACAGGCTCGCAGGTGCCAAAACAAGCTTTTCAGCGCCCGCCACTGTGCCGCATATCACAGGTGACTGGCGCATGTATGTTGATGCCACCCAAAGATGAAAGTAGGGACAAAGGCCTTGCAGTTGTCTCTCTCCGCAAAATCATGGCTCTGAGCGCAAAAAGTTTCAGGACGTCACAAGCAGTTTTGACAAGCTTTCGCTACAACCTTCTTCATGATACTTCTTAACATCCCTTTCTTTGTCGTACCGGGGTAGCTGTAGTGTTGCCTGCGCAGCCAAGCGCGATGAAGCTGGCCGAGAAAGCCGGGCGGCTGCTGTGCTGGTACCTGCCCGATTGGGTTGATGGCCTGTCGATCCTGAACTGGCTAGGCACCTGCCGAGAAGCGCGTCTCTCTCAGCGCGGAACCTCTTGGCCGGCCAAATTTCAAGCGACGGTGCACTTCACAAAGAATCTGCTGGCATACATGCGCAAGCACCACGTCATGCCGTCCAACGAAGACTATGTGGACGCCTTGCTACATTTGTTGCATGACGACAGGCTGCCCGTCGCGCTTCCTTCCCCAGGCGGCCCGCTGGTCATTGACACTGCCCACGTTGGAGAATATCGCGAGCACGTTGCAATTTACTTGGGCTTGCGTGCCGGAAGCATCAAGGGCAACAGCTTCAAGGAGTTTCTCGCAGTGGTACAGAAGCTGAACGGCCCTGAGAGTGGTTGGTGCAGGGATCCAGCATTCCAGTCTGTGTGCAACAAGCTTGTCGAAGGCAATGCACGATTCTTCGTGCATAGTGAGTGTTGGGATTCGTTGCTGCACGGCTCTGAGTGTACAGACAGCTGCGACTGCATTTACCTGGTGTTTCAATATCACAACTTCTATTTTGCTTTGTGCACCTGGCCGGATATTGACAATTACCTGTGAGCTAAATTCCGCCCCGCGTCTAGTGCAGAGACGTCAGGGAGCGTGCAGATGCGAGTCGCTGTACAGGCCGTGTAAAGATCAGAAACCTCGAGCACGCCTGACACCCTTGCGAGCAGAAAACGAATGACAGCTTCTTCCGCGCAATGCCTCCGCTCCGACACAACTGAGAAGTCCATTTCCATGTTCAGGTTGCGTCACTGCTTAAGCTGTCTTGTTTCATGGCCGTCTCGGCTCGTAAAGAATGCAAATATGATGTTTCAGCATGGCTTTCGAAAGCTGTTTCTTCTAAACCATATAAGCCCCCCTTGATAGGGGGGGTTGGGGGGGTAGACAACCCTAAACCCGTTCAAGGTTTGTAATTTGGGTGGGCGGGCGGGCATCGCAGCTCATGCGCCGACCCCAACCACCATGGAGGGGTCGAAAGCGCACTCGCAGCGAAAACCCTAAACCCTAAACCCTAAACCCTAAACCCTAAACCCAAAACCCTAAACCCTAAACCCTAAACCCTAAACCCTAAACCCTAAACCCTAAACCCTAAACCCTAAACCCTAAACCCTCAAGAAAGTGATAAATAGAAATTGCTTGTCCTTGTTTGTAACCATTGCTACGGCCCATCACAAAAGTTAAAAATTGAACAAGCGTCTTGATAAACCAGTTTCTCTACAAACTTGTAACCACCGGTACGGCCCGGCCAACATTGAGCTGGAGCTCAAAAACGAAACAAGCTTCTTGATAAACCAATTTCTCTACAACCTTCAGCCCAGGCAACCCAGCCCACCAGCCAGTCCAAGCAGCCCGACCCAGCCTAGGCCAGCCCAGCCCAGCCAGGCAGCTCAGCCCAGCCACAGCCCAGCCCAAACAAGAACTTTCGGTCAAAACGTTTCGTTCAAAAGTTTCGCTCAAAACGTTTCGTCCAAAACGTTTCGTTCAAAACGTTTCGCTCAAAACGTTTTGCTCAAAACGTTTAAACGTTTCGGCCAAACGTTTCGGCCAAACGTTTCGGCCAAACGTTTCGGCCAAACGTTTCGGCCAAACGTTTCGGCCAAACGTTTTTGGGACCCAAACCCTTAACAATTTCTATGAGTTTAGGCGCGTGGTTTGGCCGCCTGAGACGACGTGGGGTGGCAGAATTAAAAGAGAGAGCCATCCACAATCCGGCTTTAACGCCCAATCGTCACAGGACGACACACTCGAAAAGATCATTCGCTTCTGCACCAAAGTTTCGTTCCAAACGTTTCGCAGCCCCCCAAGAAATTTGAAAACATGGTTCGCAAAAAAAAAACTCGGCCAAACTTTCGGCCAAACGTTTCGGCCAAACGTTTCGGCCAAACGTTTCGGCCAAACGTTTCGGCCAAACTTTCGGCCAAACGTTTCGGCCTAACGTTTTTGGGACCCAAACCCTTAACAATTTCTATAAACCCTAAACCCCTAAACCCTTAAACCCTAAACCCTAAACCCTAAACCCTAAACCCTAAACCCTAAACCCTAAACCCTAAACCCTAAACCCTAAACTGAAGGCCGGCCCCCCACCGCAGCGATGGGGGCCGGCCGCAGCAGGCTGGCCTGCAGGCGCCTGCGGGACCGAAGGCGAAGGCCGAAAGGCGAGCCGTAGGTCGTTGGACCTCCGGTCCACGCGGCTGAAGTGCATAGCCGCCTCCCGCAGCCTATATAATAATAACCCTAAACCCAGCGCCCAACGACCGAGGACCCTTGAATTCCTCCTTTCTGGGCCCCGGTAAACCTTGGTGCAAATGGCCGGGGACGCCTGGATTCCTCCTTGCTGCCTTTAAAGAGCCTTAAATTGAAGACCCGGAACCGAAAATTAAGGACCCGGAGCTCAAAATTGAGGACCGGACCTAAAATTAAGGACCCGGAGCTTAAAATTAAGGGCCCGGAGCTTAAAATAAGAACTAAAACCTAAAATTGAAGACCCGCAGCCGAAACTTAAGGACACGGAGCTTAAAACTAAGGACCGGGCCAAAAATTAAGGACCCGGAGCCGAAAATTAAGGACACGGAGCTTAAAAATAAGGACCGGACCTAAAATTAAGGACCCGGAGCCGAAAATTAAGGACCTGGAGCTTAAAATTAAGGACGCCTAAAATTGAGGACCCCGGAACCTAAAATGACCTAAAAATAAGGACCCGGAGTCGAAAATTAAGGACTCGGAGCTTAAAATTAAGGACCGGACCTAAAATTAAGGACCCGGAACCGAAAATTAAGGACCCGGAGCTTAAAGTTAAGGACCGGACCTAAAATTAAGGACCCGGAGCATAAAATTGAGGGCCCGGAGCTTAAAAATTAAGGGCAGGACCGAAAATTCAGGACCCGGAACCGAAAATTAAGGACCCGGAGCTTAAAATTAAGGACCCGGAGCTCAAAATTAAGGACCGGACCTAAAATTAAGGACCCGGAACCGAAAATTAAGGATTCGGAGCTTAAAATTAAGGACCGGACCTAAAAATTAAGGACCCGGAGCCGAAAATTAAGGACCCGGAGCGTAAATTTTAGGACCGGACCTAAAATTAATGACCCGGAGCATAAAATTAAGGGCCCGGAGCAGGACCCGGAGTCGAAAATTAAGGACCCGGAGCTTAAAATTAAGGACCGGACCTAAAATTAACGACCCGGAACAGAAAACTAAGGACCCGGAGCTTAAAATTAAGGACCGCCTAAAACTAAGGACACCGGAGCTTAAAATGACCTAAAATTAAGGACCCGGAGTCGAAAATTAAGGACTCGGAGCTTAAAATTAAGGACCGGACCTAAAATTGAGGAGCCGAAACTTAAGGACCCGGAGCTTAAAATTAAGGACCGCACCTAAAATTAAGGACCAGGAAAGGAATCTCTAACCTCCGACCTTCCCAGAAAGGAATCTCGAACCCCCGACAGTCCCAGAAAGGAATCTCGAACCTCCAACCTTCCCAGAAAGGAATCTCGAACCCCCGACCTTCCCAGAATGGAATCTCGAACCCCCGACCTTCCCAGAAAGGAATCTCGAACCTCCGACCTTCACAGAAAGGAATCTCGAACCCTCCCAGAAACGAATCTCGAACCTAAACCTTGGTGCGAATGGCCGGGCACACCTGAAATCCTCCCTTCTGGGCCCCGTAAACCTTGATGCAAATGGCCGGGCATGCCTGAAATCCTCCTTTCTGGCTTTAAAGTTAACGGCCGGGCTTAGAATTAAAGACCCGAAGCTCGGAATTGAGGACCTGGAGCTGAAATTAAGGACCCGAAGCAAGGCAAAGCCCCAAGGCACCAGGCACCAGAAGCCAGAAGGCCTCCAAAGGCCCTTCACAAGGCGAACAAGGCACCAGAAAGCCCGCAGAAGGCCCCCACAAAGCCTTCAGAGGCCCTGCCCCCGCAAACCCTGCAGAGGCCCCGCAAGGCAGCATCCAGAAAGCCCAGAAGGCACCAGAAGGCCACTATAAACCTCCCAGAAGGGCCCCAGAAGGCTTGAACCCAGCCAGGATTTTGTCACTTCGGGACTGGACTTGGGTTTTGTCATTTGGGGCCTGGATTTTAGGACCTAAAGCTGAAATGAAGGACGGCAAAGCTCCAGAAGGCGCCAGAAGGTCTGGTCCTCAACAAAGCGAACAAGGCCCCAGAAAGCCTTCACAAGCCCTTCACATGGCCCCAAAAAGCCTTTCGAGGGCTCCCCATAAAGCCACCAAAAGGCTTCCACAAGGCCTCCCTGCAGAGGCCCTGCAAGGCACTATCCTGAAGCCACCAGAAGGCCATAGAAAACTTCCCAGAAGGGCTTGAACCCAGCCTGGATTTTAAGAACCACCCAGAAGGTCAGCAGAAGAGTTTGAGGAGGCTTTGAGAAGGTGCTCGGAAGGCGCAAAGGCCCCCAAAGGCTTCCAGAACGCCACCAAGAAGGCACCAGAAGGTATCACCGCTTAAGCTGTCTTGTGCCATGGCAACCTCGGCTCGTAGAGAATGCAATTATGACGTTTCAGCATCGCTTTCAAAGTTGTTTTCCTCTAAACCATATAAGCCCCCCTTGATAGGGGGGGTTGGGGGGGTAGACAACCCTAAACCCGTTCAAGGTTTGAAATTAGGGTGGGAGGGCGGGCATTGCAGCTCATGCGCCGACCCCAACCACTTCATGGAGGTGTCGACAGCGCACTCGCAGCGAAAACCCTAAACCCTAAACCCTAAACCCTAAACCCTAAACCCTAAACCCTAAACCCTAAACCCTAAACCCTAAACTGAAGGCCGACCCCCCACCGCAGCGCATGGGGTCGGCCGCAGCAGGCGGACCGGAAGGCGCCTGCCGGACCGTAGGCGATGGCTGAAAAGCAAGCCGTAGGTCCTGGACCTCAGGTCCACGCGGCTCCAGTGAATAGGCCGCTACTGTCAGCCTATAAAGTAATAACCCTAAACCTCAGTGCAAACCGGCCGGGCACACCTGGATTCCTCCTTTCTGGGCCCCGGTAAACCTTGGTGCAAATGGTCGGGAACGCCTGGATTCCTCCTTGCTGCCTTTGAAGAGCCTTAAATTAAAGACCCGGGACGGTTCCGAGCCTTGGACCGAGGAGCCCCAGGGCACAGTTTAGTGGAGCCACACGAAAAGAAAGAGGGGGACCTCGACTTGGGCACCTGGCCCTAATTAAAATGCACATTTTATATAAAGAATTTAACAAAGCAAAATCAGCAGCGATTTTCCATATTTTTGGAGGGCAGGGAAGAGTTTAGTGGAGCCACACGAAAAGAACGGCCCTGTTTTGCTGCAGAATGTGGCCTTGACCGCTTTGGGCCCACATGGACACTGGATGGTTTAGTGGCGGCACACATAAAGAACGGCCCTGTTTTGCTGCAGAATGTGGCCCCGACCCCTTTGGGCACACACGAGCACTCGGGGGTCCATTTTTCGATCCTACGCTCAGGGACGGTTCCGAGCCCTGGACCGAGGAGCCCCAGGGCAGAGTTTAGTGGAGCCACACGAAAGAAAGAGGGGGACCTCGACTTGGGCACCTGGCCCTAATTAAAATG